CTTGAGCTGCCGCGCCGTGTCGATGACGAACTCCACCCGGTCAGCCCCCTCGTAGTTGACGCAGCCCCGGCAGACGGGCTCGGTGAAGTCCCAGATCATGGCCCAGGGCATGCGGGGCAGGTCGCACAGGTAGCACGACTGCCTGCGGGAAGCAGCCGCCACCGCCGCGGACGACATGTCCCAGCCCAGGGGCAGCGAGCGCCCCCCGCGCGTCCTCCTCCTCCTCCTGCAACCAGAGACCAAGCGGGCAGGCTCCGGGCTCTGCAGCTGCCGCAAGATCTTCCGCCCGCTGCAAACAAGCGGCCCCCAGCGAGCGTGGAAGTCACTGAGACTAGGGCAAGCGCATAGCCCCGTCGCGGCACCCTCGGCTGCCTACTCCAGCGCGCTGCTCACTCCGCCTGCCCCGCTTGCTCCCTACTGCAGCCCGGGCGCTCGCACTGGGGCGGGGACTCCAGCAGCAACAGCAGCCGCCGCCTGTGCGCTCTGCTCCAGTGACTCGATTCTTCGACAGTGCCTCCGAGCGCCTGCGCGCTGGGCGCCCTCTTCTCTGGCCGCCTGCTGCTGGTGCTGCTCATTGAACTTCTGCCAAGAGTCCCAAGACAACAAGAGCTGCAAGAATAGCCAGCTCCCTCCTAGTCAGCAGAGGGTGGGGGAACGCCAAGGGCTTGCACATGTGAATGGGATGTAAATAGGGGTCTGTGGGGTCCTTATTTGCAGCCTAGGTATTATTTGTGAGGAGGTAATGGCTAAATACGTCAGCAGGCGTGAAAAATATGTTTAACAAAAGAACAGATGCCATCTTTACTTGATTGTTAAAATATTGTATAAGATTAATTTTGTGATGGCTCACTTTTGGCCGGAATTTAATATAATCTTTGTTTTAATCTTGCCTTTGACACTGACTCATTCCCTGGCCTTGAAGAAATCACTCCAGTCTGATCCCTTTGACTAAACAACTTTCGCTGACTTTCCCAATTTTTCCGTTAAAAAGGGTTAATAATACCTACACCCAGAGGTTTTCGAGGGGCAGTTGGTATGTGCACAGAACTTGGAAGATCGAAACAGCTACTCAATGTAATTTCCTTATTCGTTTAATAGAGATTTTCGCATTGCCTTACGCTAAGATGGAAGGGACCATAATATATACAATTGCTACTTATCTCTTTTTTAATGTTTCATTTGGGTCGGAAATAGGACATTCTAGGTTTCCTCATTTGCAGCCACAAATCTTCCATTTTCTAGTGATCAGCAAAGCGCATGCTAAGTAAACACAGCCCCTCCTCCCCAACCTGCGGACATTTTTTTTCTTCCTACTTCCGCACTAAGAATTCCAAACAGCTCGTTTGACAATTGCAGCCAGTCAAAAAGAGAAAGGGATGTTCTGTTCATTTGTCATTCGCACATGAAGTCATCATTCAACCCAGAAGTAGTCCGAATACATAGAGGGGGCTGTGTGTGTGTGTGTGTGTGATTGTGCAGCGTAAACAAAGTGGAAGCTGTTCTCTCAAACTCTTGCTTGTGGGTCACCATTCCCACAGTGCTGCTGCTGACTTATGTAGGTTACAAAGGGAGGGATGGAGGAAGCTGAGCTCTGACGTCCGCATTTTGTTTCAGGGCTGCAGCTGCGCCCTGTGCGCAGACTCAGTCAGGGACGTGACTCAATGCAATTGGCACTTGAAACCTTATTAAACGAAATGCACATTCCAGGGACAGACTCACAGAGAGAGAATCTACAGCCAGCACCGCCGATGCCCCGTCACAGCACTAAGTACCGCCTCCCTTGCTGCTATTTCTGGGCTCTCAAAGCTCCCTCCTCCCACTGCCAGGCTTAACTTTTACTTAACGTAGCAAAAGCAGCATGTACAGTAGTACACAGGAATGGGTGTAAGAGCCGCATTCTATACTGTACTACTCTCTCCCTTTGCATTGAAAATCAGATCAGGCTTTTGTTATTCATGCGTACAGCTCTCCATTAATGGAGACCGGCTGGCATGAGGCAGCTTTGCGACTGCAGACAATGGTGGTGTTGGGGGTATTTTACACTAGGATATTTCCTCCTGCAGAACCAATGGGCAGGGGGCAAAAGGCATAGGCGTTGACTTGTAATTGCTGACCCAGCTGGGCGTTTTTCATGTTTTGTTATTTGCAACCCACGAACGGGAGACGAAGCATGGACACGATATTTTATGGAGCTAATTAGTGTGATGTCATCAAAGCAAAAAGTCAATTGATATAATGTCCTTGCTCTATTTGCTAAGGGAATGCTTTCATCCAGCTGCAGAGTTAAGCTAGGGAAATGATCTCTAACCCTCCCCGCCCCCGCCGCCCTTTAAACAGAGTTTATCTGTCAACTTTTCGAGCTCCACTATTTTTTTCGAGAATCAAACGCCGTAGGCCGCTAACGCGACACACCCCACCCCAACCTTTCTTCTTTAGACTGGGATGAGCTAGCTTTCTTGGAGGCAGCGTGTGTAAATTAGATGATCTCCCCTACTGGATTGGCAAGGCAAGGGGAATGGAGCCCTGCTAAGGTTTTTACCGTGCTGCTATCGACACTGCCAGGTTTTTTTCAGGGGCGGGGAGGGGGGGGGGGAGAAATGACTGTGTGTTGATCTTCTGTCATATTTTTAAAAGCCTGTTCTAAAATTTACCCGAAGGACATTTAATCCCAAACTCAAGCGTTTTGACATGCAAACGCCACATGATCCTCCTTTGGGGGATTTCCAGAGACTTTGCCGCCGTTTGCTAATGTGCTTTCTGACGGCGCCTCCTTCCCCACCCCGCGCGCACCGGTGCAACCAGCGCTGATGCAAAATCCGCTTCCCCCCATCCACATCAGTGCAAGTGCAAGGAGGATTTTGATACAACGCCACTATCCCCCTCCCTCCCCCACC